TCGAGTCTTCTTATTTATGTAATAAGAATTTTAACCGGAAAATATTTGGATTTTTAAAAAGTTAAATTACGACCCTTAAGCATTTTCATTCAACTCGTGCAGGCATTCGTAATGTCACAAATAAGAGCTCTTTGTATACGCAGCAATGTCTTAGGCTATTAGTGTAGAAAGTAATCCTTTCCCTAGAGATGACATGCGAAGCATTTGTTAAACTGACTTTGAACTTTATATATTGCCATAAGCTATTTCTCTGACATAAATGCTACATAGTTTTCTCGTGTTTTCAATAGATTGACAAAAAATTAAATAAAAGAAAAAAAACCGGCAAACACGGATAGCGTTACTTCTTGTTTAATCTAAAGTAAAATGCTGGACTGGACTGGATCACGTCGAATATTGAAAAGTCGACATGATCCCAACCAGGATTCAGGCTAAAGAAGCAATTAAATATCATATAAATAACGGAAAGATCATATATCCATAACGTACACATTCCGGTGGGTAGCTGGACTCAACGTACTATAGACGTAAGATGGATGCAATACACAGTGCATATTATAATATTACGATTTTTTACAATGAAAACGTTCGGTCCATATGTTAGACGTTTATAGCGACAGTTTATAAACACATCTACATCTTAATCTGAAGGCATTTAAAAAAGTTTGATTAATATCTGACGCTTGAGATTTACTTTTACTTTAGAACTCAACAGATACAAAAAACAAATACAAAAACTTTACACTTGTGTCAGACTTCAAGATCATCATCACATGCATTAACTTTTCGGTGTAATGACGGTAAGCGAGTGAGTTAGCTGGACGTATTAGAAGGAGACTGCAGTTCCTAAATGCGTTTGTAAAAATTTTCAGGACAAGTGCCATAAAGTGCATTTCAATCAATTTCAATGTTATGGTCGTGTAAAGTAAAAGGTAAAAAGTAAAAGAAAAAATTGTATACGAAAGTAGCAAAGTTACGTCATTTATGGCCCTTCCTTTTTTTTGTGTTCTAAACTGGATTAAACTAGAAAAACGTGCACTTTGAGCTACAGAAATGATTAAGTTGGGGTTGAGTGAATATGCTACAAGTTATGAAAAATTTCGCAAGTGCTGTATGAGAGAATTCGTGTGGAGAATTTTCGTCTCGAAAGCCTTCGTGCGTCGGTCAGATAGTCATCTTGAGCTGGGAACTCCTCTAGTGTCCCACATATTCACTAGACATGGCCCCTTCTAATTCGCACTCGCTCAGATCGATGCATTCGTATTGAGCAGATCAGCGGTTCTGCAAAGAGGAAGATGTGGACAAAAATTGATCGAATTGACATGCGAGACCAACAGGCAAAAGACTGAAGTGATTATTTCGATTATTAGATTTTGTAACAAACATATTTAAGTAAAGTTGAATTTTGTCAATAAATGGATGGACATCTTATGAGAACTCTGCTTTCTTAAAAACAAAAGTGAAAGCAAAGAGAAATGGTGCAAAATATATTGTGGTCGGCATTATTTTTATCGTGAACTTTTCGTTTTCACTGAAAAATTGTAATATGTTTTAGATCATCATTCTCTGATCCCCGTCTAAGCTGTATGTTAATTATCATTTTTTTTGCCATTATCGACGAGTCATGGTCGACCCTCGATCTATGACCCTCAGCTATAAGCGCATATATATAGATCGAATTTTATTATTCGGCCTTAGCGTTTGTAACCGTAAACCGTTTCAATGTTAAAACATGTGAGAAAGAGAGGGATGAAAGGATATTGCGAAACCGAGTCGATTCGCAATCGAAGTCTATTAAGAATGGAATCTCCGATAAATCTTAAGTACACTTAAATATTATAAAGAAAAAACTATAAATAAAGTTTTAGTTTCACTAAAAAGAAAAAACGGAAAAAAACAGAAAAAACTGTTCATGTATTGTATGTAAGTTTTTTCCCCTCCTACTGTTGTCTTGATATTATATAACTGTACCACGTTAAGTAAGAAACGGTTCATTAGGTCACTATTGTCACGTTTTCATGTTACGTATTACAATTACTTTTTTTCTCACTTTATTTTTACTTATTTGGAATTTAATGGAATTTCCTTTAATATTTTTGCACACACATTTAGGCTTTGCCTATAAATTCGCTTTTCATACTCACTACTCAAAGATAGAATGTGTACTTAGTGCACATTCTCTTTGCAACATCATCGAAAGTTGCTTTACGAAGTGTTTTTTTTTTTTGATTTTATTTATGAGAGTTCTATGGAGAGACGGGCCTTTGCTTTTCTGTGTGCAGATCGAATCCACTGTGGGAAGATATAGTCATGTTAAAAAATTTACCTTTATTTTTGCATATTTACTTAAAGTAGTGCGGGGTATTCGATGTTCGACTTGACGCGCGCACAAATTTCATGGTTGCTTTTCTTCGATTGTTTTGCATGACACACACATACCGAGAAACAGCTTTTCTATATTTTTTTTTTTTTTTTTTTTTTTTTTTTTTTTTGGAATTATCAACAATGCCAATGGGGGAGCAGAGGAGCAAGTGAATTAAAAAAAATTGAATTTCATGATGTGTGTGCTTGTGAGTTTACATTTTTTTTTTTGTTTTTTTTTTTTTGTTCACTAGAGTCGGGTATTAGTTTAGGGTCATTTCAGTTTAACATTTTGCGGGTGAGTTTTACAGTGTGTTAGTTGCCAGTTTAAAATAATAGTGCAATTGTGTTTTTAGGTGCTAAGGCTGAGACTGGTGATGATGATGGTAATGATGTGAGACTGATGATAATGTCATTAAATAAAGCTAGAAAAAGGAAAACAAAAAAAAAAAGCAAAAGCAAAAGGAAAAGAAGAAACGGCCAAAACAACAGCGCCACTTTCAGGAGTTGCTTATGGCACGATTATTTGAGGTTTTACATGCAATTTTATTGGCACCTTATAGTTATAATAATAATAAACTTAAACAATAGCTGATGTGATACGAGTCAATGAATTTTATTTTCAACAGAATATAATAAAACGGGGAAGAAAATTAAGTTCGCCTATCGCGAATCTTGCTTACCCATCAACTTAAGACTATATATATATAAGATTAAAATGACAAAAGATTTTCATTGGCTGTTAATGTGACCGCTGGGAAATCGATTCCATTTATGCGCTAAGCTTTAAGACGAGAAGATATTTAAGAAAAATTCTTAGAGAATTTCAAGTCGTTCGATACCTGTTGCAGTTTAAATATTATCTCAAATTTCTTACTGATATTGCAGTCGGATCGAACTCAGTTTCAACTTTCATTAATTAGACTAAGTGACGCATCGAAAACTTACGGTCTATATATAGAAACGTGCCGATAATCAAAAGTCTTCACAATTGTATGACATTTACAAAATCATGCCGCCTGTCAAATCGTTGGCGAACAAATCATTGAACTCTTTTGTCAATAGACTTAGTTTATAATTTATGTAGATATCCGTAAGGACTTTGATGGAATAAATCCGGTTCAAATCGTACCTTTGGCATCTTTTACGTCTAACGTGTTCCGCGAGGCAGGTACTTACATCCAATTCTATATGTTCTATATCCCGAGGACATCTCGCCTGGTTATGCACTTTGTCAAAATCGTTATATATGGAGATGATAATGAACTGTGCTACTTCATAGCTACTTCACTGTGACTTAAATTGCATAACTACATGATGTAAATTAAATGTCTTGTCTCCCTAGGTCCTGCAATTCTTTTCACCTTAGGTTATACCATTTTAATAAGAAGAAGTACGCGTCACTTCTCGTACCACGATTAAGTCCAACTTACCAATAAAGGGAAAGCTTTGTTAGGTTTCATAAAACTTCGGTCATAAAAATTCGGCGAGCCTTTTGTAACAAGAGGCTAGGTTGAGCTTTTCGTGCTACTTAATACTCGATTGGACTTGGAGTTACTCTGGCTAGGCATTGGCATAGAGACGTCAGTTTTATTAAATAAAAATACTCTTAATAATCTTTGTCGGAGAACTTGACAATTTTAACCAATTTACAATAAGAGACGCTTAACTATAACCCATTTAGTCCACTTCTGTTGTTTGGAGCAATTTTAATAGTACGCATCATTTAGCCTTGGGATGCGAAACTTTTTTCGTGAACGAGTATAAGTGTCTTTATACCCTACTCCACACCGCTACCTAGTACAAGGGTATATAAAGTGTACGCAGATGTATGCGACCTTAAGAAAGAGTTGACATATATCCCCTTTTCATAACAATGCACGATTCAAAATCACTTGCTGAATCGATCTAATATTGTCTGTCCGTCTTTCCGTCTGCCCATCTGTCTATCTGGCAGTCTTGTGTTCGTGTACGTAATTTTTAAGATATTTTAGTAAAATTTGAGTCACTAATGTGTTTTGGCCCAAGGACGTATTCGAGTCGGATTACTTTTTTCCGTGCAACGGTACATTTTGAAAAGTTATTATATGGATAAGGTTGGATAAGGATGGAATGTTGGATAATCTAGGATATTTCATGAAAAGCGGGAAGAAGGTCTTTGTACATGTTGTTGTTTTTTTATTAATTTTTTTTGTAATATTTTTTCTCAAACTTGCAGTTTGGTTTTATTATAAGATTTTTACACTAATTCGTAAATTAAGTTGAGTGCGAATGATATCAATTAAGTCGACTCTATATTATGCTTTAATATATAATTCTGAGTTGATTTAAAGATGATCGTTTGCGTCTGCATTATCGGCATGAGTTGGGTTGAGTGTGTGAGTGTGGCAACTTATCTATGACAGTTAAGCTAATGACCTTTATTTTATAATTTTTATAACAACGATTATGCAATAATTTATAGATTACTCCAGCAAGTGTGAAAAATATTTAAAGACACTTAACATTAAATTAACGAATTTATGTAAATAAAATTCTCACTTTACTTGTATTTGCGATAAATTAGAGAAATTTATGTTTTTTTCCTTTTATTATTATTATTTTTTTTTTTATGTCACTCTCTTTACTTTTGATTATAGTCTCCCGGTTTGGATAGTCGGCATGAGCTGAGGGGTCGTTTGCATAAAATTAAACCAGATATAGAATTTGACGCCTTAACTACCTCCAACAGTGAACAAAATCATAATCATTACCAACATCATCATCATCACCATTGCCATCATACCCAGCGCTGTCATCAATTAGAACAACCTTTACAACAACAATATTATCAGCAACTAGCTCCGCGTCAGTCTAACAATCAGTATCAAAGCAAGCTTAGCGTAAGCATTGAATGCGAACAACAACAACAGCAACAACAACAGCATCACGAAGTCACGCCATTTGAAACGTATGAGCAAGAGCGGCAAATAACCGCAGAAGTTAGCAATAAAAACAGTAGCATTACACTTAATAACCATTTAAATGAACATCATTGGCAACATGATAACGTTAAACTTGATCAAAGTCCAACAACCACTTATAATTCGCAAGAAGTTACTGCCCTACAGTCTGCATCTACGGCAACGGCATCATCACATTCTGCAAATAATTCAGATCTTATAAATCCCTCCTCTGCGGTTTCTGTCTCAACTTCACCTGCCATCGATATCGACAATTTCTCGAATATCTACAATACCGATAATCCTTACGAAGTGCCTGACTCTTATACCGCAGCTGCCACAGCTATAACTAAAAACACATCCACACCAATTATTGGGAAAGAGTACTCGTTCGGTAAGTTGAAAAGAAAAAAGACGAAACCCTTTTAAAACTTTTATTAATAGGAAGGATTCTTGTACGAAGGGACCTAAGTCTTCAACGGCTCTAACAAATATTTGATACAAATACTTAACGTTAAGATGACAAGCTAGAGCTACAAGAAACTTTCCTTTTCCATAGCCCAAAAAAAAAAAAAAAGAAAAGAAACTGGAGAGTAGGTGAGCAGGAAACAATAGTTAAATTGACTTAGAATCGTACAGTATACTCCATCGATTGCCTTTTATACGCACCGCAGGAATGTGTCACAGAAATACATATAGAAGCACCAACCAAGTATATATATGTTTCCTATCAGCTTAAGTAACTGTTACGATTTAAACATGTTTCTCTTTCCGTTTGTTGCAGTCCATAAGTTAGGAAAGAGAAAAGACCCGAGAAGCCTTTCATTTCCTCAGTTTATAATTTCAAAGTTTTATTGAAAGTTTCGCAATTAATGCTAAAATATTATTAAACTAATAAAATTAATAAAAATCATTTAAAAAGTTCTGCCATAATTATATATACGAATAGAAGTACAATGTTTAGTTTGAACATTTATTTTTATTTATTTATTGTTTAATTTTTTTTTTTTTGCTTATTTCATTGCATCACTGGCAACAATTATCCATTTCAGCCGTATTAAGCAACACTCTCAAGATTAATGGCTTAAATTACGCAATTATAAAAAAAGATTATCAAAGCACAGCACAGTTAATAGTTTCAGTTTCATAGGATTAGAGGATATTTTTAAGCTTACACAGTTCTAACAAGCAAACTTGAGTCTAAGTGTTAATCTATCACATTATAGTAAGGAATACCACTCAGAAGTTAAGTAAACAGTAGACAGACATTATTTAGGTTTCAAGTATTAAAAGCATAACTTAAATCTAAGTAATTACGTTACATAGCTACTTATAAGATACGGTTTACCGCAACACCAACAAAGCTATGCAATATCTGTAAGATTATGCAGAATAAGACATCATTTCCGAAATCATATATAGTTTTCATGTTTTCTTAGTTAATTTTCCCCCTTTTCTTACAATCACCTATCGTATGTTTATACATAAATGGTCCATAAGCTAAAGTATAGGAACTTAATATCGTATATTTTTATACCCTACGCCTACCCTATTTGCGGTAAAGCGTATATTTCGTTTATTCGGACGAAGTCCAAGATGGGCGTAAAAGAGAATCACCTTTTGTTGGACCGATCGATTTAGAAAATGATTGTCGTTCTCCAACTGTCTGATATTTGCCCATGTATTTTTGTGTTCAGCTTACAGGTGGCAACTTTCGCGATTTGGTACACTGACGTGTTTTGACGCAAGGATGTCCTCATCTGAAAATGTTTCGGATCGGTCCACTTTTCCAACCATACCGCATACGGAACTTGCCTTGTCTTGACAATTCGTTATGTGGAAATACATTGCAATTTTCAAAAATTTTCAACAAACTTCCTTCGCCTTAAGCCCTCTCTCATATAACCGCTTCTATAAAAACTGAACCTTTATATCGTAAAAAGCTATAATTTTCCATATTTCATGGTGAAAATTGTTTCATAATAGTAAGTTCACAAAGAAGTGGTCTTCGTGGGTCTATTTTTTGAGTACCACCCCCTCAGGAAATGTAAAGTTCCTTATATGCCAAAATTGTTAATGTTTTGTAGTGAAAAGTTGTTCGCTCCTAGTAATTTTATATAAACATTAAGTAGACCAAATTTAAACCACATGGGTCTGTTTCTGGGTCCTTCCTCTATATAAGATTTCTCATGAAAATTTAGTCCTTCACAAAGAGATTTAATTTTTAATATTTTATGACGGAACTTATCCAAAAAAATTAACAGTTGGATCACACAGGTCTAGTTTTTGGACCCTGGGTTATCATGCAAAGCAAGCCCTTATATGAAGAGAAGGTAAAATTTTTAGTTCTCTATAGCGAAAGCTGAAAAATGATAACATTTTTGAGGAGCGAATTAAGTTTTTTAATTTCGGATGACGTCACATGATGTTTCGGTCATCCCCCAAAATGCGAGATTTCGCAAAAAAGTATGCCTTTGACGAATTTTTGATGACGAATAATTGTGCTAGGCTAGGATTGAGGCAGAGTATTTAACGGCCAGCCTTGCCCAACTATAATTTTATTACTCGTTTTAAAAGTTGATCTTGTTTGAGCATAAGCTAATGATAGTTATTTGGAAATTCAAATCCAACTGCAAATATATCGTTTATCATGACTTGAAGACAACTTATTAGATTACTTGCACCAGAAGTGCAACATTAATTAAACGAAAATGCAAAATTTCGCTATAAATCTGACGGGTTTTTCAGGCTTAATTGATTATATCCTAAACCACTTGCGGAAAGGCTTACATGTACTTCAGCTAAAAGAATGTTTTCGAATTTTCTTACATTGATAGTCATAGGCCCAAAGGCGAAAGTTATTGAGGGCGATTTCGAACGCATCCTTTTTATGACTACTCTCTATACCACATAGTCAAGTAAGTAACGGTTTAAACCTCAATGCGGTTGACTATAATTTGAGGACGATTGGTGTGTTATTGTAGTTATCGTAACCGCTCGGTCGCGCGCTGAAGATATAGCACTTAGCGATTGGGCACACAGCGTATCTCTATTTCCCTTTCTTCGTCAACTTCTTTTGCACAGTGAAAATAATTGATGTATAAAAGTCATCCTTGAGTGCTTGGTCATATAAACTAAAAAAAAGACTTCATCTTTTTTATTATTTCATGCAAAAATTGAAGAAAAATCGTATTTTGGCGAGTTAACTGAATGTGAACAATATGTATGGGATGGGAGAATAAGCGTTCATATGGTTCGTATAAGGGAAACATGTATAGAGAAATGCATATATATATATATATATATATATGAGTCCATCACAAAATTAAAAATACCTCTAAACAATATTTGCCAATCGGAAATGGCAACACTACTTCTCAGAACTAATTTGACAACTTAAATTTATCTAACAAAATTTACTTACATACTAACTAATCGATTATAGTTTGCTTTCTGATCCGGTCCGATATGGAGTATCCTTTGCCATTCGCAGTTGTGTCAAAGGTGAGATCTCAACATTAAGCAATCAATTGTTTCGAAAATTGCATGATGATGATGAATTCTACGATTACTGCAATTGTTGCAGTTTGGTCAACAAAATACGTTGGGCTACGCTATGCTATGCTCTTCTATAGTGGCCCGGTTATGGACACTGTCTTTCAAATTTAATACGCATCATTTTATATTCATATCGACAGAAATATGTTTGCTTAAAACTTAGCTCTCGCGGCACTTTTTCCAGTTTATCTTGAGATGCATTGGCGAGATGGCACAATAATTGAATTATTGTAAAAAAATTATCTTTTATTTTTAGATACCAAAAATAAAGAATCATTTTGTCATCATGTCTACTATAATCTGGATGATTCATGCCAAAGACCAGTCTTATGGGAGGATATTTCCAATTCAATACAAAATATTGATCCTGAAAATGTCCTGATATTAGAGCAGCATTCAAATAGTTCGCAACTGCAGCAATTACAGCAAAATTTTAGCGGTTCGACTATCAATAACGTAAACGTATTGGTACCGCAAGTTAAAATGGAAACAATCGATGATACTTTACCCGAATCTTTGTCAGCATCTTTGATTAATCCGTTGGAAATTAAAAAGGAAATACTTACAAAGCCCAATAGAAATACCGACTCACCACATTCGCAGTGTTTTCCTCAACTACCAGCTCCGGTATCGCCCCGGTCCGGACAAATTAATGTTTATCATTATAGCAATAATCAACAACAGCAACAACGTTTGTATCAATCTCATCGCAACTTAAACGATAGAGATATATTTATCCTGGAGCAACAACAACAACAACAACAACAAGCCAATATAACTAACGCCTTGCGTAGTAACAGCAATAGTCCCAATCAATCAAACAGATGTCATAGTACGGCGAGTAGTCATAACAGTGAAACGAATTACACTCCGAATACCAATAGCGTGAATTTGTTAAGTTTCAGTCCGGATAATAGCATGTATAATCAATCGATATATTTACAAAAACAACAACAACAACAACAACAACATCGTCTTTTAAATCAAAATCTTAACGATCCAACGACAACTTATGACAACAACAATCACACCCTGCAAGTAAAAGCGTTAACAATAAACAGCAGTAATCTGGCGATGGATAATAACTCGAAAAATCTCAATAATAATAATTATCCATGGCATAGCAGTCAGGTAAATGTTAATGCGAGAAGAAAAGCAAAATTAAAGAAAAATAATTAAAATTTTTGGTTCATTTTTGCTCTCATCTGCAGCCTTACTATACTAAATACGATATATCCCAGCCTTCACCATCAACAATACAACAACAACAACAGCAACAGCAGCAGCAGCAGCAGCAATTGCAAAAACCACAAATTTGTCCACTTATTTTAATGTCAGCAAATACTAATGCGATTACCGTTAGCAATTCATATCATAGTACTGGCTCACGGCAAATATCATTCATGTCGCCCTTAACTCCACCTAGTTCGGATCCCGGAAGTCCGGGAGCTTCAATGGCAGCGGCAGCAGCAGCCGCTGTTGTGGCCGCTGTTAATCAACAGCAAAAACAATCAATTAAACGCTCAACACCGCCTCCGCCATATCAAGAGCAGCAAGAACAAATGTCTGGCGCTAATATGTGTCCGTATACGATAGCATTGAAAACGAACACAACGTCAAGTGTAACGGAGGCAACAAAGTCGACGGAACAGCACTTGAATTCGGTTAATAATCGGATATTAACAGCATTTGGTTCGGCCAATGTCCTGACCATAAGAAATTCCAAAAATAATGATAAAGAATCATCTTGTGTTTCCGCCTCATCTCTACCAACCTTGTCCGCTAATCATCATCAACAGCAACGGAATCAAACAAAAAATTCTGCTTCGATATCTTCATTAACACCTAGCACTGATTTATTAAATATCTCGGCATCATCGATACATACGAGACGTTATAATCGCCGTAATAATCCCGAACTGGAGAAGAGACGTATACATCACTGTGATTATGTAGGTGAGTCGTTAAGTTTATCGTTTAAGTCTTTCCGCTCATTTTCGCTACTAAAGGTATTTCATTAAAACGTGGGAAATTAATGTTTAAATTGCAATTAAACGTTCTATTGTTATTGTTGTTGTTGTTGTTGTTGTTGTTGTTATTGCTGTGTATTCACAATATATAGAGGAAAATATCAATTAATACATTTTTGCCATAATTTTATTCAATACATTTTAGCCGTTGTTTAATAATGCTTGAGCGCGTACTTTATGTGCAAAGCACGCATACACACGCTTTTAGCCAAAAATGGTGTTACACTCAGTTAGCCGCTAGCTGCGTTAAGTAATTACCACTTGAACGATAATTGGAAAAATGCAACAAAATTTAAAAAAATCTAAAAATTTAAAAAATTTTTAATAAAAACTTTTTGAAAAAAAAACAAAAAAAAAAAAAAAAAAAAAAAAAAAAAAACAAAAAAAACAGAAAAAGAAAAAGGAAAGCAATAGCAGCAATTGTCTGCTGATACATTAAAGATCGTTTAAATGCTGCAAGCAATACAAGAAACGAGAAATTTTTATGAAAATCAATCGTTTCTCTCTGCAAGCATTTAAAAAATCACTTCAACGACCCCACACGAAAACAAAAAAAAAAAAAAGTGTACAAAAATGTCGGATTTTTTATTGGAATAAGTGTTGAGTTTTCACTTTTCCATCTCTGACATATTTAGCATTACATGGTTACTTATTAGAGTGATGTTGTAGCAGATTTTGCCGTTTTCTGTTACCACACTTTAGTCTAAATAAAAGGTTTCTCTTATGTTTTTATTCTTGCTGTACTTGTCGTTTTGCTTATGCTGCATGTCGCGTCTATTTCGTACACGAGATCATTTGGCATGCACTCGTCGCTGTTCGAAGTAGAAGTTTTTCTTACACCACTAAACTAAAAAGGAGTAATAACAACTTACATACATAATATCTTATAAGCAGACAAAACTTACATGTATGTATTGCCAAAGCACTAGAAAATAAATAAATAAAAGCAAAAAAAAAAAACAAAACAGAAAAAATAGAAATAAAAATAAAAATAAAAAGAGTGGATTTTCTACATTAATGCCATGTTATACAACCAGACTTACGTTTACAACATTAGAGTGACATCGTTTGATGCCAGTCAAACGAACACGCAGACAAACAGACAGATAATAAGATATGTGCAAAGACTAAGCTTTCAAATATATTCTCTACATATGCCAGCATTTATATGCACGAGTGTTTGTATTTTGTATAAAAAAGATGATAAGAACACAGCATACGATGTCGAGAACATCATGCATTTTGAACCAGATTTTTTCGATTTATGGCAATATCCCCTGCACAAGGGGATATACTTGAGTTAGGTCCAACCATTGTTCGTCACATACGGAAAAATATTTACTGAAGATCCAGCGATTTTCATATATAATGCTCAATATCTGTTATTCTCTTCCCTGGGATCAACTTTCTTAAACTTTACGTCTCAGTGGTTAAAGTTAGAGGGTTAGACAGTTAGTCGTTGAGAAATTTTTTACTCCTTAGTGCTAGCTGTTAAGTTTGTCCGATTTTGGATTGGCGAGCGTATGTATGTTATGAAATTTTACACAAACACGGTTTACAAGATATTTCGAACAATGACCTTCTCTCATCTCAGTGTAAACTTCATTGTGCTCTTTTACACGAGTGTTGAGCTCTTTGCCTGGAGAAGGACGGATTGAACGAATTGTTATTGACTTCTTGGCTATATTGGCTGATCACCACACAAGTTACAAGGTCTGTAGTATTGTGTTATATTAGCTCAAGCAGTAACTTTTGAGGTTCGATCAAACAAACTTATATCCTCTTGTATCTTATCCCAATGGGACGCAACTTTCTTTCTCCGCCCTTTTACCAATCACTTTTTGTTATTCTACAACAATTTTTAAATAAGGTTTAGTCCTTCGTAATAAAGAATTCCATTCCAATACTACCAGAGTTTCTTCGAGTTTAGTGCGATCGTGTAAGTAAGCTTCTTCTATGGCTTTTATCGTGACCTTTGTTGATTAATATTGCACAGAAAATAACTTTCGAACTGCACAGATCGTAATGTTTTCTTCGATCAGTTGGATCAGCTGCAAACTGTTGAGATTATATATACTATTGTCTGCATATTTGTCCAATAACTTTCGATGTTGATGAAAGCCTTGTCAATGCGAGTGGCATGTTACAAATGAAAATATGCCCCATGATATTTAGGACATTTAGGATATCATTCGATCAAAATGTGTTCCCCATATACAGCATAATTTGAGATGAAGGATTTTACTTTTTTGGCAATAAAAAAGAAAAATTTCTAGGAAATATATATTTTTCCCCCCATAGATCACAGATCTCGACAAATATTTCCTTTTTTAAACTATCGTCATCATTGTTATTAGCAATCGTTACTTGCCTCACATTTCGGTATCTATACGAGAAAAATCACCTATATGAAGACATTTCTTGATATTACCGATGAATGTGCGTAAACGTAAACCCTAATTAGAAAAATATGTGGAATTTTTTCAGTTGTATATGCACGCCTGAATTGTAGGATTCTTGGCTATAAATAAATAAGAGAGAGAGAGAGAGAGAGAGAGAGAGAGAAAGAGAAAGAGAGAGAGAGAGAGAGAGAGTATGTGTACACATTTGACGCGGAAAGCGTTAGATTGATAAGAAGTGAACGTCTCGATCTAGACAGACAGACAGACAGACAGGCAGACAGGCATGCATATATAGATTGTTAATAAATGTTAGAGGCATGTACGGCACCATTAAGTACGTATTTTGAGACAAAAGCCGATAAAAAATCAGTGAAAACTTATACATTAACGCGCACACACAAGCACACCGCAGCTATCTGTCCATCCATTATATTACTCTCTGTATAAATTTTATATTAAATAAAAAGAGCTAAAGGCCATAATACGAATAAACGAAAAGTAACGAATCAAGTTAAATAACTGGCCAACTATGAAACTTAGTGACTAGTTATGGATAGCTCACTAACAACAACTACCAAATGAAGTTATTATGACATAAGTGCACGCATCAGTTTCCTAGGATTGTAGATTGACATCTCTCAGCTATGCTGTTGTAGTAGTAACAGTTATTCCACAGCGTATACAACACTCATATACAGTTTCCATATATATATATTTTAAGTTAAAGTTAAACTCATGTGGCTGGTGGTGATTGCAAATAGATATCCACGATACTGGTAGTAGTAAAATGAAAAAAAACAAAACAAAAAAAAAACAAAACAAAAAAAACAAATAAATAAATAAGAAGAAAAAAAAAAAAACAAAAAGATTTTACGTATATTGGAGACAGCCTATAAATTTACACACACACACACACACACATATATATATATATATATATATATATAAATATATGTATAAAGATATGTGCGAATATACAAACTTGGATATGCGTATGTATTGAAATACTTTACAATCTATAGATTCTTTCGGTATTATTCTTAGGCATTATTAATTGCAGCAAAAAAACAACAACAAAAATTACGAACAAAAAAAATTGTTTAGACTTTCAATTATTTAACCGCATTTGTACTTAAGCCTACGTGCTGAGGCTTATTTTGTTTCTATTTCGCTTCAGCAAGAAAAAAAAAACAGATTATCTTCCTTGTATTATAGTTGTCTAGTCGATGCTAGTTAGAGTATTGAAGTTTTGCAAAAAGCGATGATGATTAAAAAAGTATCGCCTCGTATGCACTACTGACAATAAAACGGGGAAGTAACGTAAAGTGCATATGGTGTGATGTTAGAAAAACTTTATAGATTTTCGTTTCAGAGACACACACACAGTAACAGATTACGTTAAGGGGTAGTCGTCTAGACTAGTAAGTAGAGGCAATAAATGTTTTTATTATCTTGAAATGCTTAACACGTTCAAAATATATTTTAAACACGTTTAGTGTTTTTTTTTTCACCTCTTCATCGCCTCCTTATAACAGGCAAATACTGTTGTAGACGACAATAAATTGGAGGTGCCAATTATGCCAAATAATTGCCACATATATATACATATATATTTAAAAACATTCACTAATATATCGATAGTAGATTATTATAAATATTTTGAATAAGCGTTTTTTCCTTTTTTTTGTCCGTTAATTGAATATCTATATGCGCCTAAATTTGACTTTGATGGCTGAAGTGAAAATGAGAAAATGAATGGAAAAGATGTGTTGAACAGTGGCAGAAAGCCTTTCTTTGGTCGCTCGTTTAGAGTTTAGCATATAAGAAAAGCTTCGTGGCTATTCCGAAGAAAGCGAAACCTGACATATTACGTCGATGTGGCCTTTTTACTAAAATATTGATAAGCAAACAGATTCCTCATCTGGTTTTACGTGGCTCCTACCGTGACGGCTTATTCCTACGTCACCCGATGGCATATGTGTTATCTTGATAAGCGATAACCCACGTCCCCATGGGGTAGGACAATTCCCATTAAAACGAGCCCTGCTGCTCTTTAGGTGGCGGAATAGGGAATGGATGTGAGCCATTTATCCGCTTACTGGTGTGCATCGAGGCTTATCCAAATACCTCCTGGTTAGTTGCTCACGACACTTTGTGGCAACGACAGCCGCCACGATACTCCCCAAAGGTCCTTATCCAGCAGTTAGATAAGGAGTCATTCATCCCGGTAGGCAGATAGGTAGAGCATCTTCATACCAGACGCAATCCTACTTTTGGGCAGCCCAACCCCATCGGGCACCCATTAACTTTATGACTTTTCGTTCTATTATAGAACTTGTGCCAACTTTGGTTGATCTCTTACTGTACGCAGCCGGAGCCACTCTCTCTTTGGTCAACGCCAAATGTCTCAAAAGTCCATCCAAACCGTGAGGAGGAAATTATGTTTTCAAAGGTGTCATCATACAGCACTCACCCAACTGTGTTTCAGCCCTTTCAAATATCGCAGACCATCATGCCTTTAATGACTTCCATAAAAAAGAACCAAAAGGAAGAACAAAACAGAACCAGCCATCTTCCGGTACAGCTCTTAAGTTTTCAAGAGAAAAGCCTATCGCTAAGTTATAGATAGCAAATCTTAAACTCTTCTTTGCCTTTAAACGCGTGCAACTCTCGACAGTGAGAAGCATAAACGGCAACAGTCAACGTTTATAGGGAGCTCCACGAAAAGGTTAAGGTTTCAGTACATCTATGTACACGCAAAGCGTTCCCGGAGCTCCACTGCCCATTGATGATTTTTAAAAGATCCAGCCATTGTCTGCCTTCATAATGTTTTGTGAAAAATATGCGCATTATTTATACTTAGCGTGTTACTTACGCTAAGTATACATAAGTACAGTAAGAGAGTAAAGAAAGTGGTACAAGTAAAAAGATAGAGTAATGTATATCTGTGAAATAATATACTATACCTACGCCCACGAGACTGATACTAATAATAGAAGATATATATATACAAAAGAGATAAGATAATGTTACATAAAGAGAAAATAGTAATAATGCGGAGAAGTATATAACAAAAAAACAAAGTACACCTAAGTGTAGGACCAAAACGACCTTGGGATTTTAGTCCTTACACTTGTCATATAAGCAGTGTCCCAGATACGTCTTCAGCAAGCGCAAATATGATAGGATACTACATAGGCGTCGCATATGAACTCGAACACTAGGATATTTACATGGGAAAATTCACTTTGCGGAATCCGAACGAACGATGAATTCAAGCTTACCTCAAGGCATCAAAGCTTGTTTCTCTTTGCGCTGTAGAGTTATGGAACATGATGCCAAAATCAAATCAGGCCGAGTAGATAGATTTAAAGTCACTGTGTACTCCTTTTATAAACTAAAAATCACACGCGTATCTTGGATTTATTGCTTATATTGTACGATACAGTTATGTCATTTATATTTTTACTTCTACTGTTGTTCCCGATTGTACCAAAAGTGCCTTTCTTTAGTCTACGATAATAATTATTATTGTATACTTGAATTGTTATTAATAATTATCATATTATGTTATCTGTAATTTATATCAAATTTACGCACCCGAGACGATTGGTTCCTTTTGGTCAATTTTTGTTTGATTTCTAACTCATTTTTAATGACAAATGTTAAACTTAGGCAAAGGATATATAATCAATAATAGAAAAATTATTGTATTACGAAAGCGTGCATAAGCACCAACAAACACACTTTTATTTAGTGTTAAAAATTTTGTCCCCATTACATCTTCTCCCGTATTCGGAGGGGTTATTAACTGACAATTTTGATGCAAAGCAAAAATATCTTAATTGGAATCAGTTGATGAATGATGCAATCTTCCATCTGTACTAATGAACGAACGAATTAAGAAATAAGTCGAAATTGGAAATTTTGGACGGGATAGGACCATCATTTGCATCTGCTTCGAATTAAGAGTTCAGATTGAAAATAGGTCTGTAAATATGACACTTTTGATATCTTATGACAAAGATAGGTGAAAAGTGGTAATAATTTAAACGGCATGTGAGGTACAGTCGGTCTTGGCCGACTATAACACTTTGTCATTGCATATGCTGACATTTGCACGATTGGCGCCATTTTTCCATAAATGAAACTCAAGTTGGTGTTGATTGTATTACTAATACACCTACACATTTTCTTTTCTATATATTTCTTCTTTTTTTTTTTTAACAGGTTGTACAAAAGTTTATACCAAAAGTTCGCATTTGAAAGCTCACCAAAGGATACATACAGGTATGTAAGTTATTAAGTAAGATTCGAGTAAAGTTGCAGCTCGTTTAATAATAAAAGTGGACAGGCAGTAAAAACGATGAAAATAATTTTTTTTTAACAAATTCTCAACGAAAAACAAGAAGGAACATTATAATCGGGCTAGGCTGATCGTTAAATACCATATGCCAATCCGCCCAGTACAATTATTCGCTCGACATTCCACATTTTATATTTTCATGTAAAGGCATACTTTCCATGAAATCCCGCATAATTTAGTTCCCAAATATTTTATTATTTTTTTTTAGCCTTTTATAGGAAACTAGAAATCATACTTTCTCTTCATATAGGGGCTTGTTTTTCATGATAACACCTAGACCTAGGCGATCAAAGTTCCCTACTTTGTGCTTCGTTTCGTGCGTCTATGAACCAATTACTACTTACTATTTACTCTTTATGAGAAATCTTACATGGAGTGGGGTCTAAGAAATAGACCCATCGGATCCAAATTTGGTCTTCCTAATTTTTATATCAAATAACTATAATGAACAAATTTTCAGCATCAAACCTGAACAACTAGAGCTTTTTGGCATATATGCATTTACATTTCCTGAGAATCCTTACATGCGTTACTATTCAACAAATAGACTTACGTGGTCCAAATTCGCTAAGGTTGATTTCTTTGTTAATTTACTAATATGAAAAACTTTTCATCATGAAATATTGAGAATTTTTCCAATATAAAGATTTTGTTTTCGTAGGAACCGTTATATGAGAGGGGCCCTACTGAACTAAACTTTTCATATCAATTTAGAATGTCGAAATACTATTATTTAGAGAGTTTTGTCGAAAAATTTTGAAAATTGCAATTTTTTACGATATAACGAATTTTCGGTACCAAGCGTTAAATGCGGAGTCGCCGAAAAAGTGGACCGATCCGAACCATTTTCAGAAGTGTTCGTCCTTGGGTCAGAACACACCATTGTACTAAGTTTCATTAAATTATCTCGAAAATTTCGACTTGCAAGTTTAACGCAAACGTACATGGTGGGTCTTCAGGCGAATAGAGACGGACGGAGAGACTGGTGAAAAGCTAATTTTTTGAATTGATCAGTATAATACATGTTGGATCTATTTTAAATTCCCTGGTTGTGACGTACATTCGCACAAGTGTAATATAACGTGTACTGCAAGTGGTGTGGGGTATAATTATATTAATATATAAAGTAAGGTCATTACGGTTCAGCGATAAAATATTGGGTAGATATTCTTCCGTATATGCTTCGACCGAATCCCAATCAGGTATTATTGAATATTGATTGCAAGAGTAAAATCGAAAATTAGAAAATATTTGCTTAATAACTGTAACTGTAACGGTTGTTTATGAGTGAATTGATTGGATTTTCTATCTCAAGCCACTTGTTGTTCTATGTGTGCTGGCAATGCTGGTTATGTATATATGACGCTGCTACCACAAACGACTATAGATTTTACTCCTTCGACCAAAATTAATTAAAACTGCACGTTTATCGTCTTTTTTTTTTTTTTTTTTTTTTTTTTTTTGTGCCTCTATGTAAAAAATGTATTGTCGATTTGTAATTATTTTTATTAATTTCTTATATATGATAGTTGCCGTCCTTATTGTAACGTCCGATCATATTGTTGCTTTTATATTATAGTTTTCGTTTGCAAGAAGAAGGAGTCAAGTGTGTTTAGTTTCTGTTGCTGTTGGCTAAGCTTTTACTCAATTCTCGCAATTTAAACACTTGCATCGAAAGCACTTTTGCCTTTTGCTTTTGACGCAACAACGTTAATCGTTTCAGGTAACAGTGAAAACAAATAAGATAACTTATAAACGCAAACAAGCTTACATACTATTTTATCATCGAAGGGTGAGGGGGTATATTCAATTTGTCAAAATGTTTGCAATATCCAGAAGAAAGATTCAGACGAACAATCAGATAGATGCGTAGATGCATTCCAACTTTGAAATTGGCCAAGACTTTATAAATTGTCTGGGATTCTAGAAACTTGTTTCTGTGCCTTATAAGGGTATTGTAAAAAAAATTCAAATTTTGATACACTATAATATTGGTTAGGCGTGGTTAATTTTTAAAATTTTTGTTCACAAATGCGACTTAATCAGATTTAGATAATAGTAGACATGTCTACATTGTGTTCAATCAATGGCTTCTAACACTAAACTTAAAAAAATGCAAAAAACTATTCTTCTCACGAAGAAGAATAGTAGAGAAATTTGCTCACAATAGAAAGCCTCCTCGAAACGTATAAATTAGGGAATGTACAGATATTTCTCGATCCAGAGATGCTATTCGATAGTAAGCTTTGTTTCAATTTACTCATTAAACTCTGCGGTAGTAAACCCCTTGTATATGTTAGGCTTCATTAAACGCTATACATATATATATATATATATATATATATATATATATATATATATATATCTATTTATGTATATATGCACATTGTATGTTTGACACCTTGTGAAGTAAACGAGCGACGTTGTATCAAAGTATTTGTTTTAAATTACGCGTAATTTCTTCACTGATAATTCAGTCATTGAAATACATCTGCATTAGATAATGATCTCTTGGAATCTACTTAATATAATTAAAATTTGATTTTGAATTACTTATGAGAAATTCTGCTCTTTGTATTCGTGTTTTTCATTTTCTCAATGGTTATTGACATTTATCTGTAGCTTCTTGATATTTGCAAGTGAGAAAACACTTTTTATTGAGGTCATTGTTAAGTATTATATATGCAAATATTATTTGATAAGTTGTTATCAGATATCAGATCTAAAGTTAGATGTCAACATACAAAAGTCATTATCTTCTTTTTTTTAATCAATCTGTGCATAAAAATGTTCGTAAACTTCGAACATTCAGATGATTTGGATGACAATCAAAAATGGTTGCTTCTCATGAATTGGCCCGAGATAGCATTGGCTTAAGTTATAACAGAACGTGTATTCGTCTTATTTAGCACTTCGTCAATTTGACGGGTTTGTGATTTCAAACTTAAAAATTTTGCATAAGGAAGTGAAGATGTTTAGATTTTCTATGTATTGATTATTAATATTTCTTTTTCTGGGACACGCCCGCTTTGTTATTCTGAGATGCGGTGTAACTATTCTTAGCACAACTCGACAATTTGACGGGCAAATTTCGTAAATCATCACTAATGAGGAATATAAATAAACATCTATTACCAGTGAACACTTGTACGAATTGCGGAGAGATAGTTGATGAGATCTTCATAGAAGAAGCGAAGACAAGAAAACAATAAAATTCGTTTCAATAATATATATCTATACATGTAAAGAAATTCTACTTCAGGTTATGTTTTCATCAGATGACCAATGTTACGATATTACATTCTACACCTGATGCGAAATTTATTTGTATTCCTATTACTATAGGGTTGTAATGTGGTAACCCATCCCTGATAAAATTTATTAAATTATTTTAATCTTAACTCACGTTAATTAGCTCTACATCTTTTCCTTTTGTTGTTTCCTTTGGCCGAATCCCTTTTTTTTTTGCTCTTGACTTTCCTAGACTATTTCCTTCCAGCAGATTAGCTTGGTAGCCTTCTTCCTCACTAGTTCAGCTTTTCCTCAACCACCATAAAGGTTTTTGTGAGCAGTTTAAACGTCTCCTTTCGGTCTTGGCGAATTTCAGGCGTTCTAAGGAAAATTTTTTTTGTAAAAACTCCTAAAGGATTGTCGTGTTATGGCTTGTTATCGAGTCGATGAACTTCACACGCAGATAGACGGGAACATCGAATCGAATCTATTTGCAAATCAACGATCAACCTGCGAAATCCATTCATCTATAAATTACAAAAAGTTAAAGTGAAAGTAAACTAAGTCCTTTAAATATTCTCTATGGGTCATAGAAATGTCATGTGAAACAATGACCAAAAGTACAGGAACCGAGAAAAGTGATCTTAACAGATAAAGTTTTAAAATAATTGACAAGAACATACAAATAAGATATGTATTAAGTAAGGTATGCAGGCTTTTACGACGAAGCTAATAACGATACGCTAATATAGTATACGTGCACTATCATGTAAACTCGCGCATGCTTGTATAGTGTATTAGTAGTCATGCAAGCATGATAAAACATTTTCATATAAACTTCACTTCTTTATGGCTTGCTATGTTTACTGTGCTGCAAAGCTTCAGTTTTAACTGCTACGGTACAAAGAAATAAATAATAATATTTTTGCTTGTGTTGCTATGTTGTACCGTTGTTTACATGATCATATTATATGAACGTTATATTTCTCAATGGGGGAAAATTGAAATGAATTTTCTTTTCATACCTCATCACCGCAGGAAGGGAAGTATGCTCGTTTTGCCATAGCGTTTGCAGAATGAAACTTCAGAGACTCCACAATGTACATATATTCTTGACAAGCATTAAATTCTGAATCAATCGAAGCACGTCCATCATTCCGTCTGACTAATATCTGCTGTAAACATTCTCTTGGTCGCAACGATGAAGCTATCAACTTCAAATTTTGCATCAACGTTAGCAGTTTTTGCGCACGGGTTACTATTGAAAATGCGGCAAATGGGTCAGAAGGCGCACCCACAACACGGCGTAAACTGAGAACACTTCTATTTGCCAAAAGTAATAAAAAATTGCTTTTCCTCTCATTACTCATAGACTATAGTAGAAAGATCTACGAAGTTTTGTACTGTATGGGCGATGCTATAGTGTCTACACAAAAGTAAAAAGATTAACCACGCCTATCCAATATTACAGTATATTACAGTATATTAAAACTTTTTTTCAATATCCTTACAGTGCATAGAAGCAAACTTTTTAAGTTATATCAATTCTTGGCCAGTTTCAAAGTCGGCATGTTCCGCCTAAGCACGTCCATCTGTTCGTTTGCCTATTTGTCCGCCAAATGGCACAAACTTTGCAAAAGGCTCGCCTCTAATGCCCGCAGGACAGAAGCTAAGAAAACCTTTGCTTTTCCTG